TGTTTGTAACTACAAAATAGTTTTGTGTACAATATATAATCACTATTTTACAAGTTTGTAACTACAAAATATAATCACTATTTTATATTTGTAACAACAAAATATAATCACTATTTTATGTTTGTAACTACAAAATAAAGCTTTGTGTACAAAATATAATCATTATTTTATATGTTTGTAACTACTCACTCTTTTCTTGATGAACTTCAGTGCTCGTTTATCTTTGGAAACCCTTAATAACTCCATGGCTCTTTTTTCATATGGTGCAAAGCCGCACACTTCCCTAACAATTTCTCTGATGAATTTGGAGTGTTTTGTGAGAGCCTATAAATAAATGCACTGAAAAATGTAATATCAAGTTCTACAACACGCAGCACGACATATTTCTAGTTAATTCTATACATATGTTATTAGGTAGTCTACAAACTGAAGCAACCAATTCTTAAAACAGCTAAACTTGGGGCCTTATAGTATAAAACTCCTTTCTTCTAGAAAACAATACTCATTACTTAACACCATTTTGGTTCTATTCACGCTTGTGAATACATATAAAACTATGCTTTGACACAATCAGTGAAATGATAAAACTTCATCTAGAAAAGCTTTACAAGTTACATTTGAACAGATTTTCAAGAAAGCTTCCTTTGGAGTTGTGGAAACTTTCATGTGTGACAATTAACTTTAAACTAGTAACACATGGCATTTGTTTAACTTTAAAACAATTCATTAATGATAACTTTTGTTCATCTTCGTTACAACTAACTATCACACATTATGCTTCACTTTCATTAATTTTTTGTAACACACACACACACAAAAATAGTGTAAACAGTCTTATTTGGTTCTCACATGATTTTAAACATACATCACAAGCAAATGTAAATTTTCTTTTGTATTAGAAACGTGAATGACAAAATCTAGATGAACATATGAAAAACAATATCGCAGTGTAGTACGCACATGTACAAAAAGTATTAAACTGAAAAAGATTGTTTTATAAATTTCCTCCTGACCACCACCATCAAATGATTTGTTTGCCATGGTATTTTTTCTTCATGGCTCTACAATACACTTGGAAAGCTCATAAGCCAGTGTTTCTCTCCAGTATCAAGGCTATCGTCACAACAACAACAAAATACACACAAAACAGAGAAAATAAAAGTCCAATATTTGTACACATTTAGCAAGGTTATTAACGCTTCACTGACACTTTTACACACATGGCATTTAAATGTTTTTCTGTTCTCTGCATCGATCCACCAGAGTCAATGCTATCTAGTAAATCCATAAAATAATCTGGATTTCCCCCAGCTTTGGTAATGCTTGCTGCTCAGGTAGCTAAGTGTTGTGGTACAGGCAGCTTTGACATCGTGAAGGAAACCGACGCATAGAAGGCAGAAATAAATGACTTATTGTATGGTAACATACAGCAAATTGTCGGTGGACAAAATTTCCACAAAAATTTACAATCCAACACTTCATGCAAGAATCTGTATATGTACCAGCTGTAGTGAATGGGTTAAAGGATGGGAAGCAATGTTTCCTGACTTTTACAGGTTTGTGGCCATCTTAACTAGTGTCCATGCTAAGATTAGTTTACTGTTATGCCATCTCCCACAAAAATAAATGTATGTAACGTGGTCAGGTTTTGTTTCAGTTGGACAGCTAACAACAAGGCAGCACAGATTAAAAGGTTTATACCACAGTTGAAAGTGCTTGCCTTGAAGTTACATGTATGGAATTCAAGGAATCACAAAAATGACTTCAAATTCTCCAACATACTCCTTACAGATCAACCTTGACATAAAAACTATCTTCTTAACCTGCATAAAGCTTAGCAATTTCTTCTTTTCAGCTTTTATCAGAAATGTTTTAACTCAAATTGAACAAAAATACAGCATTTAGGATCCCAGAAAAATAACACAAACATTAATTTGTAAACTACACAGATAATAACCAAACCATCTATTGTTTTTAGGAACAATTAAACAAATTTCCCAGCATTATTTGATAAGCATATTTTATGTTAACATACAACCATACCTAAGACATACAAAAAGAAAAGAAAACCAACAACAACAACTTACCCCCTTTCTTCTAGATGGCCTTGGTTTTGTCACATTTTTTGTCACTTTGTGGCCTTTACTTAGGCCAACACACATCTCATACCTTGGTGCCATGACTGAAAAATAAAAATTCTGTTAGTAAAAGTAAGTTTGATTTGAATACTTGTCTGTCAAGCAAAATTTTGTGGTACAGTAATTTGGAAAGGACTCATTTCTTCTCTAAAATGAGCAACAATGTTGTGGAAAAGGGTTTAGGAATAAAAGTAGAGATAGTCTAAAACCTAATGGATATTTAGCTGAAAGTTTTATCAAATAATACATCTTCCAAGTCTTTAGATGTGGTGAAAAGAAAAAAAAACATTTAATGGTTATCCTTGCAGGAGTTTAGAATTTAGGGACAAAGTTTAATATGAACTTGTACAGAATTCTAACAAGG